CAGGTGGGAAACCATAAAGTTGATGAATCTGAGAGCTGGTGGCTTGAGATCAATAGTACCGCTGACCCTAGGCTGCCCACAGAGCTGGTGCCCACACACTCCTTCAGGGTTCAGTTCCCTTCCATGCCACAGTCCTGCCCTGTCCAGCCTGGCCTTAGAGCAGGTGCCCAAGGCCCTGGGTCTGATTACTGTCCCCTCCGGGGCCTTGGAGCTGAGTAGTGCCAAGCTAGGAGTGGCAGCCTGGCTGCCCCGTTTCCAAAACCATCCCGCACTCATCCTTGTCTTTGCTTGAATGGTCTTGTCCCCCCTCTGCATGGACTTTTTTTTCAAGGATCTCCAAAGAAAAGTTGTTAATCCTCAAAATAAAACAAATATTGGGGCACCTGGATGGCTCAGTGGTTGAGCATCTGCCTTCAGCTCAGGTCGTGATCTCGGGGTCCCGGGATGGAGCCCCACATCGGGCTCCCTGCCCGGCAGGGAGCTTGCTTCTCCCTCTCCCTCTGCCGCTCCCCCTGCTTGTGCTCTTGGTATGAGAGAGCCAGAGTCAGAGATAGAGAGACAGACAGAGAGAGGGAGACATCAGCCAGCAGGGAGAAGGTGCACAGAGGCAGAATCTGGGGCCTGGCAGAACTGAGAGGGAGCCCCACTCCACTCTGAGAAGCTCACGCTCCTGGCCCTGGAAGGAAGCCCCATCTGTCCTCAGGAGCCCTGCCCCACCCGGCCCTGGCGTCCAGAGTTTCCGGCCAGGACAGTTAGGTCTCCGAGGGCTCACAGCGGGCAGACAGCCAGTCTTGGAGGGACGGTAGCTGGTGCACTGGGTCCTCACAAAGGCACAGAACCACCTGCTTCTATCACTTTGGGGTGGTCAGTCAGCACCCTGAGCCCAGTTTATCGGGGCAAAGGCACCTGAGAACATGTCCCACCAAAGGGGCTGTGGAGATGGGGCTGAGTGTGCAGACAACGGAGCTTGGGAGAAGGCTCCAGGAGGCACCAGGGAGGCCTGGGCTCCCAGGGAGGTGGTGCCAGCTCAAGGGCCCCAGCGTGCCATGGGGCTCTAGCTCTCTGCTGCCTCTGACCCTTGGCTCGGCCATAGAGGAAAAGCGGGGAGCAGGGCAGGGCTCCCCCGCTCAGGGAGCATACAGAGGAAAGAGCTCAGACGTTACAGCCACACAGGGTGCCTGACCTCCAACAAGTCACCTGGGTCTCTGTGTCTCGGTTCCTCTCCCACAGGAGACGGGGTGATGATAGCGCCTCAGAGGGTGGATTGGCCCCTCGTGCTGCTGTAACAAGTTACTAAACAGCACACCTTTATTACTGTGTAGTTCTGGAAGGAAGATGTGCACGTGGTTCCCGTGGGCCACAGTCAAGGTGACAGCAGGCTAGTCGAGCCTGGGGCCTCTCGCTTCTAGAAGCTGCTCACAAGGCCCGCGGCAGCTGGCTGCATCCTTCTCTCTGGCTCTCCCTTTCCCCTCCAAGGACACTCACCACTAGACCGGTCTGCCTGCCTGCAGGATGGTCTCCTCATCTCAAGGTCAGGTGACTAACAATCCTAATCCCACCTTTGCCAAGTACCCCGATGTGTTCCCAGGTCCCGGAGATCAGGCTGTCTGACGTCTCGCGGTGGGACATTCTGTCCCAGCCTGGACAAAGGGATATGCGCCTGTGGCCCCGGACAGAGGAGTCACTCAGCTCAGAGGGGCTTCTCCTCTGATTTTCCCCCTTCAGGAGCTTTGGCAAGTGAGTGTGAAAGGGAGAAGGCGAACAGGAGAGATGTAGGAAGAAGTAGGAGGAAGAAGTAGGAGACGCCATGCGGGGCGGCCACCTCTTCATCTGAGCCTTTCCTGTGTAGCAGGCCTTACCTCGCCCAGAGCAGCTTCTCTCCTGAGTGAAGCCAGAGCATCTCCAGGTGGACATCACGTCCCTGCTGCCCCCCTTTATCCTGCCTACTAGCTGCTGGGGCTCACGCCAATTGGGCCCCCTCTGGCCAGAGTTGTGGGTAAAGTGCCACTTGTGTTTGGAGCAATTCCCAACAAGTTGAGAAACTAAAAGTCACCTGCTCCAACACACGTGCCTTTGGGGAGGGGAGGCCTGTCCAAGGTTGGTAGTTTCCAAAGGGCTTTCCTGGGAAGCCAGCTTTTGGAAGAGGCCTGGGGTGGGTGGCCCTGTCCTGGGTCCCATTGTGTGCAAACTGCTGATTACCACTGGCCGCTAGATATAAGGGAAAGTCTGCCCGGTTTTTTCCATCAAGGACTGGACACGCGTCACCAATATCCAAGAGGGGACAGTCACTTTCTTCAGGACGGTGATGTCACCTTCGATCCCATGGCACCAGCTAGCGTGGGCTTTACATGACCTCACGTCTGGAGCATCAAACACCACCCGCAGGCCCCCCACCAAGATTTGTGAGGAGAGACAGCATTTCCACTTTCATCCTGTCCAGGTCCAAACTTGGCCACTTGAATCCTACAAGTCCCTTCTCAAAAATCATCACATCACACTGATTCCAAGGAAACCCCCAGCAGGGCTTCCAACCCTCCCCCTTGTTTCTGAAAGCGAAGGATGTGTTCATTCCCTATGAAGTCGGCACCAAAGGGGGGACCAAAACACAGGCAAGGAAACCGGGCCTTTGCGGGACCTTCTGTCCCCTCACAGCTCAGAGCAAGTAGTGAGTTGTTGTGGGAAACAATGCCCCTCAAACCGGGGAAATGTCCATCAAGTGTGGGGTGAGGGGGCAGTCTTTTCAGGGGCCCTTGTGCCTCCGAAAAGTGCCCAGAAGGCCCACTGTCACAGGCTGTCCCAAGTCTCCTGGCTGGCCTTCTCCTGGGCTGCTGGGAAGCCAAGTGACCACAGTCATCTTTGTCTCTCCTGGGGGCCAGAGACAGTGTCTAGTCTTTCTTCACACACGAGACGTGGGTTTCTATGTCCAAAGCCATAACATTGACAGAAATGGGATCCCTTCTCAATCCTCCACCCCTTGTCCCTCTGCTGGCCAGAACCCGGGGGTCTGAGGACACTGCCCTGCTGAAGCCTGTTTGTGCTGAGTGTTGGGGCCTGGACTTTCATGTCCAACCCTGGAGGATCTCCCCAACCCCCACATCTTCCTTCTCTTCTCTGCCACTTTGCTGGAACCCATGCCAGGCCGGGGCTTGGTCAGCACTGGCCCAGCCTTGCCCTGCCAGGAGGGAGGAACACCAACATGGACAGACACAGGGCAGGACAAGACTTCCCTGAAGGGTGGTGCTGCATCTGGCCCCGCGACCCCCTCCTTCCCCCAGGGCCAGCCAAACCACAGCACAGACTCCCACTTCACCCACGCAGACACCCTTTTCACAGTGTCCTGGGCAGACCTAGGGCAGGCTGGGCAGCTGGCTGTCAGTCACCCTTATGAAAATTCTTCTTCCTACACTCCTGTGGCTGCTGAAAATAAACTATAGGAGAGAGTCTTTCAAAGAAAGTGCTTTAATGATGCAATTACCTTCATTCGACTCAGAACGTCTTTATTCCATTAGAAAGGGACAGTCAGTCTTGGGGTGGAGAAAGAGCCGCCCCAGCCGTGACACCAAGCCTGGCCTTGGAGCTGGGTCAGAGGGCCCCTTCAGCCACACTTCTAAATTTAAATTAATGGAGAAAAAACTTTCTAATTGAATTTCTCTGGCTGGGCCAGACAGTTAACTGTACCCCAAAGCTGTATTTCATTAGAACAACTTTGGTTTTTCAAAAATAAGTGTATACTGATCCAGGTTGCTGTTCCTGTGTTCTGGGACACTAATCAGACCTAAGGTCACCCACAAACCAGTCTCATGATTTGTTCTAAAACTTCAGGGAGAGCCTGCAGAGGGGAGCCTACAACACCCAAGAAGGTTTTTAAACCAAAGATTGGTCCAGTTTTGGAAAAATAATCTAAATAAGAGCAGGTGTCCGCCGGATCTCCTCTCCTGCCTCAGCGGGGGTTCACGGGCCTCCTAGAAGCAGCACCGCTTGGCCCAGGTGGGCCGAAAGCCTGCGCCGCCGAGGACCCTCTCCGGGGACCTTTCCCTGGTGCCAGGTCCCGGTCCCGCGTCGTGGGACGATTCGGTCGAGCAAGTGCGGAGGAGAGGCTGACGGGAAACACCAGCGACAGGAGTGCTTGAGGGGCCTGCCTGGGTGCCAGGCCCAGCAACCGAGGCGGGTAAGAGGGCGGCCCTCTCCACCTTCCCTGCGGCTGCAGGCCCTGCCCAAGGACCTTCGACGCACCCGGCTGGCTGCTGCTGGGGCCGGGCCATGGGACACTTGGGCAGCGCGACGGGCAGCCCCTGCCCGGTAGGGCGCCGGGCAGCTACAGGTGCCTGAAAAGCCACCCAGGGCCAAGGCGACTTCAAGGGGACGGAAGTCCAGTCGCCGGGTCCATCATATGCGGTCCCCAGGGTTGGGAGAGAGCGTCTGGGCCAACGCAGCAGGCGCCGAGGGTTCCGGGTCCGGGCTGGGGCGCAGCAGAAGAGCGGGCGACCCACAGGGGGACGACACTGCCTCTGAAGGGGCGGCCCTTTCCGTGTCGCAGGATCCGCGCTGTCAAGGCCCGTCTTCCCTCTCGCGGCTCTGCCAGATCGCGCCCGCCGTCGGTTCCTCCGTTTGGGGAAGCTGGGGCCAGCTCCGCGTGCTCCCCAGGTGCCCCAGCCATCTCCCGGGCAGCGGGAGCGCGGGCCCGGCCGGCAGAGCTCCGGGAAAGGCCGGCGGGCGCTGGGAGCCGGACAGGAGCGCGCCACGCCGGCGGGGACCCGGGGCTCAGGGTACTAGGTGGCGGACCCGCCCCTCCCTGTCCATTCCGCCCTCCCCAGGTCAGCGAAGCCAATGGACACCCAGGCCCACGCTGCAGCGACCGCGGCGATTGGATGGCGGCGCATGAGAGGGGCACCGCCTCTTTATAGGGTTCCGAGGGTAGGGGCGCCGCCAAGCCCGCGGCAATCGTGCCGCGCCCTACCTTCTCGGCGCGCCTGCAGGGCCCCGCCAGCCCTGCGCTCGCCGGCCAGCGCATGGCCCCGGCTTCGCTCGGCCTGAACTCCGCGGGGCTCAAGACGTACAGCGAGGGGCGCGCGGGGGCCGGCCCGCTGCCCTTCAGCGTCCAGTCGCTGCTGGAGGCGGAGCGCGGGCTGGACTCGGAGCCCCCGGAGCTCCGGGAGGAGAGGCCACGGGGCGCCGCGGAGCCCTGGGCCTGGTTCTCGCCGGCTGCCCGCTCGTCCTCCCCACGTAAGTGCCCTGTCGCACGGTCCTGGGCATCAAGAGAAGCCCCTACCCGGCCCAGGCTCGGAGGACGAGGGCGGGAAGGGCGCTGTCGCTCATAACTTCGCGAAGTAGTGAACCCGCGGCTTTTTGGCTCAGAGCTTCTCCGGCCCAAGCATCCCCCGACCCCGTCTGTCCCCGCCTAGCTTAACTTCTGCTTCGCCGAATCTTCACCCCAGGGCTCACCGCTCGGTTCTTGCGGCCGCCTCCCGCCCAAGCTTCTCGCTTCTCCAAGTGGGCAGAGCTCCTCTCCTCCCTGGCTTGCGGGGCTGCCTATTTGAGGAGCACAGCCTGAGTCTGGTGCCCCCTCCCGCCCCCATGCACGCACCGTCTCCCCGATGCCTTGTTCTCTTACCCCAGTGGCTTCTGGAGTCTCGTCTTTCCTCAGGGCCGAGACTTGCATCCGTAACAGGCCTTTGCGGGGAATTCTAAAGTGTCGGAAAAGGGTGCACACTGCTGGCGTCTGAGCGCCCGCTTTGTGTTTTTCTCTCCTCCCAGGCGCCCCCAGCCCTCCACCCTGCACCCTCCGAAAACACAAGACCAACCGCAAGCCGCGGACGCCCTTCACCACCACTCAGCTGCTGGCGCTGGAGCGCAAGTTCCGCCAGAAGCAGTACCTGTCCATCGCAGAGCGCGCCGAGTTCTCCAGCAGCCTGAGCCTCACCGAGACGCAGGTCAAGATCTGGTTCCAGAACCGCCGCGCCAAGGCCAAGAGGCTGAAGGAGTCTGAGCTGGAGAAGCTCAAGCTGGCGGCCAAGCCGCTGCTGCCTTCGTTTGCCTTGCCCTTCGTCCTGGGCGCGCCCCTGCCCGGCTCCCCGGCCGGGTACGCTGGTGCAGCGGGCCCCCTGCCTCAGGTACCAGGACTCCTCGCCGCGCCCGTCGCTGCCTACCACCTGTATTACCTGTTCTAGGGCAAGCGGGGAGGGAGGGCGCGGGCCGGGAGCTGCCGGCTTCCCCAGCGGGGCCTGCGAGGTGGGTCCCCGCGCCAGGGGCGCCTGGCCGGCCGCGTAGTGTCCTCGCGCGGAACTGTTGCTCTGGGTAGCCTCCCGGCGCTTCCCGTTCTTTTTTGTTTTGTTTTTCAGTTTTTGAGTTTCTGCTGTTGTTAATACATGTTATGATTGATGCCTCAAGTTTACTTGTGGGTATCTTACAGATATTTTAAAACGAGTTTTTTAAATCACGTTCCTACCAAACTTCTCTGCAGCGAACAGTGAACAGTTTCATTCAGAGTCCTCGAAAGGGGCCAATACAGAGCTTCCCATTTTGTGCAAAGCAGCCAGTAAGGTGTTCTGAGGTTCACTCTGTGCCGGGTCTCCAGCCCCTTCCTCCCATAAGCAGGACACTCAGAACTGGCTCCATGATTTGGGGTTTCAGCTAGAAACTGAGGCCCAAACAGGGAGGTGAAAATAGTTTGCTGCCAGGACTGTTAAATGAACTTACTCGTTACTTTCACTGACCAGGTTTGTTAAGTCCCGACCAAATGGAAACGTCCACGCTTATTTTAGGGATTTTGCCTGCATATTACTGTTTTAGTGGAGAAGGCCCGGCAGCCTTCGGTGAAATGCTGTCTGTGGGCGTGTGTGCGCGCGCGCGCGCGTGTGTGCGTGTGTGAATGAGTGGAGGTGAGTGCCTGTGGCGGGTGTGGCCCTGTGGGGCGAGCGCCCGGGTCCTGTCGGTCAGGGACCAGCGGTTCATCCTCCTGCTGCTGCTGCTTTGTCACACGCCCAGTTAACTCGGGAATCGGGCACCGAGTAAGGAAGCGGACGGTGTCCCTTTCCGAGGGACTGCCCGGCGTCCCCAACACTCCGCCTCCGCATGGGGGCTGCTGAAGGCGCCTGGTGGTGGCCTGAAAACCCACAGGGCCCACTTCCCGTGCTGCCGCCGCCTGGGGCGCGTGCGGGCAGCCCCTCCTCCTGCCCCCGCCCGCCCTGCGGACAGCCGGTCCAGACCACGGGGGGGTGGGGGTGGGGAACTCCGAGCCCTTCCCTCCTGACGGGACTGCAGGGCAGTGGCTCTGGACTGGGGTCCTGCCGGCCCAAGGAGGGGAAGGACCCAGTTTTACTCAGCAGGAGGCTCCCCAAAGTCCTAATATTGCATGAACTTGCCTATTAGAAGCCATCATTCACCCTATGTTTCTGGAAAAATGAGAATTCACGATGGATTTTAAAGTGACCCCACCCCCGTTCCTCAAGTGCAAGCTGCTGAGAGTGGCATTGCAGTGACCAGGGAGGGCAGGGAAGCCCCTTCCCCCTTTTCCTGGTGCTCCTTCTGCTGTGCTGGCCCTGAACCCAACTCCAGGCACAACGTTCAAGGGCACAGGTCTGTAAATAGGCCAGAAAAGGTGGCTGGAGGCCTCCCACCACCACCGCACAGGGGCCACTCCCCCCCACCCCGAGCGGACACTCCCGGCCAGGCAGCACTGATCTCACAAATCTGAGGTGCCTGAAAGTCAGGACCAAATCTTACGGACAAACAACAAGGCTCACTTTGCAAATAGTTTGAGGATCATTGTGGTCATTTGGGATAATCCAGGGCAAAGGTGACAGTGAAACCAACACAGGAGGGAAACCACCATCACGTGCCCACATCCCAGCATGTCCCCTCGAGGCCCCTGGTCTCCATTCCAGTGGTGCTCTCACCATGGAGCAGGGGTCCACACACATGGCGCCACACGTGATCCCTACAGTCCTGGGCAGCCTGGACCTGGCAGAGCAATGTGCTGAATCAATTTGTTAATGCTTCTCTGTAACCATTTCCAGCCCAAGACACCTGCCTGGGGAGGCTCCCTGCCCGGCTACCCCCATTGAGCTGGTCAACGGCCCTTTCATGGGACCCAGGGTGTGGTGCCCATACCATCCAAAGTGAGGGAAGCTCTGGGGGGGCCCAGGCCAGGTGAAGGCCCACCAGCCCAGTGCCCTTGCTACTTGTCAAGACCAAGCCTTTCTGCTGTTCTGCAGAGGGCCACTGCCCGGGCAGGGGGCTGTCCCTCCTCTTGAGACTTCTGCTGCCTGTTTGCTTTCTCTCAGAGGACTCGGGTTCCTGCATGTCCTGGGTCAGATCCCAAAGCTGTGTGGACCTGCTGGTCCCTCCTCCAGCCAGTGTGTCTCTGATGGGAGGTCTTAGAGGCCCAGAGGCTGTCCCAAGCTTGCCAGAGCCAACATGGAAGGGTTCACCCATCAGGAACCTGCATGGAGGCCTGGGGCCCCTGCCACCCTGGTTTTAGGACAGACTCCCTGAACTCCGAAGTCACGCCCCACCCGGTCTGTGTCCTCTCATGTGCTTCATGCCCAGCGGCTGCTGGTGGACTTGGAGATACCAGCCCTGCCCTTGGGAGGCCAACCAGACAAGGGGGACAGGAGTGCAGGTCAGGGCAGCCCATGCCTCTCTGGGGGGCCAGGGGACTAAGAGTGGGTCGAGCTGTGCAAAGGCGTGGATTGTGGGTGACTGGTAGGGGTGAAAGTGGGGAGTGGGACTGTGGAGACCCCAGATGGTGAGCCACCCACCAAGCCTTGGTGTCTCATCAAGCATTAAACAGGTGGCATTACAATAGGCCTGGCTGGTCTGGGTGACCTGAGAGACAGCCCTGAGGCTCCTAAGTCAGTGTCCTGCTGGCCTTGTGGCAGGGTTCAGGCCAGTCGGGCTCATTCACTCTGGTCCTGAGCACCTGCCCGGCACAGTCAGCTGTCAGAGCCCCTCCAACAGCCTTGCTCTCAGCCCATCCCCGGCGTGGACCCCGGCCACAGGTCCTGTGTCTGTGGGTCCTCACAGGGTAGACAGGTCATTTCTGTTTCAGTATTTCTCGGGGAGCGACTCCCACAACCTGACCGTACATCCCGATGATCACAAAGAAGCAGTTGTCTCGAGGGCAGAGGCTCCTCGTAGGACTTCTGAAAATGTGACCCTGGGGTCCTTCTTAAGCTGGCAGTGGGGTGGCGACTACCGTTCCCACCAGGACATGTGACTTCACGTGTGCTTTTGTACCTGTGAGGTGTTTCATGACAAGAAAGCACTGCTTTCTGTCAGGTACAGTGATTGGTAAGGAACGCCACCATCCCTGCACCCCCTGGAACGCAGACCCCAGGCTCCAGGTGGCCCATCCGGGTGCCGGCGTACTCCCCCGGGCTTCCCTGTGGCCCCAGGACCTCCCCCAGGCCCCAATGCGTGCTCCCAGGCAATATTTCTGGGTAGATGGGCTGCACTGTTTGTTCGGCGTGATAATACACAATGCTATTCAGATGGCCTCAAGTTCTGGTACTTTCATTTGACTTTTACAAAAGTGTTGTCTCCTTCACTTAAATAGACATTTTTTGCTATTCCTGATATTCTGTATTAGACGCTGTATTCCATCGATTAGGCCATTAAGAAAAACAACCAAGTAGCCATTAACCTGACAGGACTAGTGACGCAGGGCGCTAAATGTCAGAGGTGGCACAGGTGGGAGGAAGTATCTTAGTGTGTATGGGGCGTGTGTCTGAAAACCGCGACATTATTCCTTTAAACGTGCAAAGGGTGCTATTTTTTTCCAGGTTGTACTTTGCAAATGTGTAGAATGTGGAATGATGCACCCACGCTGCCCTCACAGGCCCATTTTTACCACTTGGGATGATGAGTGTTGCACGCAGAGGCCCAGAGGCAGGGCCCTGCGACCCTGCAGGAGGCAGGGAGGCCACGGGCAAGAGAGAACTGCGTTCTTACTCTGTAGAAGCAATGTCTGGGTTTTCCACTAAATGGGGCTGAAACTAAACAGGGTAGCATGCACCCTTATCTCTTTTCCCTGTTACTGGGCAGGCTAGAGCCTCCGGCAGCAGGGTGCACAGAAGTTGCCAGAAGGAGCATCTTTGTCTCATTCTTGATTTTTTTTTTAAAGGAAATATTTTTAACAGTTCACCATAAGCACGATTTGTGTGTGGCGGGTTTTTTGAAATACTTTCCTAGGTGACTACAGCTCGCTTATGCAACTACTTAATATGAAGTTTTATTCTCAGTGAATGTTGTACTTAATCAGATGTTTTTTCTGTATATATCGATTGAGATGATGACATGATTTCCCTTCAGTCTGTTAATGTGGTAAAGATTCTCCAATGTTGACACAAGTGTGAATTCCTGGAATAAACCTGGGGGCATGGGGAGCTTTTGACACATTAAAGCAAAAAAAAAAAAATCATAAAGATAGCAAATGATGGATTGACAATGTAACTGTTAAAAACTCAGGTTCAATTTGCAACGACGTGATGGAACTGGAGGGTATTATGTTGAGTGAAATAAGTCAAACAGAGAAAGACATGTATCATACGACCTCACTGATATGAGGAATTCTTAATTGCAGGAAACAAACTGAGGGTTGCTGGAGTGGGGGTTGGGGTGGGAGGGATGGGGTGACTGGGTGATAGACACTGGGGAGGGTATGTGCTCTGGTAAGTGCTGTGAATTGTGCAAGACTGTTGAATCTCAGATCTGTACCTCTGAAACAAATAATGCAATATATGTTAAGGAAAAAAAAAAGAAGAAGAAGGTAGCGGGAGGGGAAGAATGAAGCGGGGGAAATCGGAGGGGTAGATGAACCATGGGAGACGATGGACTCTGAAAAACAAACTGAGGGTTCTAGAGGGGAGGGGGGTGGGAGGATGGGTTAGCCTGGTGATGGGTATTGAGGAGGGCACATTGGGCATGGAGCACTGGGTGTTATGCACAATGAATCATGGAACACTTCATCTAAAACTAATGATGTAATGTATGGGGATTAACATAAGAATAAAAATAAATAAATAAATAAATAAAAACTCAGGTTCAACAAAATAACACTAAGTCCACAGCGCATCAGGAGAAATGTGTCACGTGGTCTGCCTGGGGAGAGAGGGTAGGGTGACATGTGCCCCGAGAGCACGGCCTGCACGCCGGCCTGCCCGCCTGCCTGCCGGGGTCTGACTGGACCCCTTCACAGAGAGGTGGCCCCCTTCCTCCAGGTTCGTGATGCTCCTTCCCACTGGCCTGTGGGCCCAGGGTGCTTCCCCTGTAAGCATTCACTACCAGGCCCATGGGCCTGACCTCGGTTTTGTCTTTGGGACACCCAATGCCCAGAAGGAAAGCTGTTAGCCTTCTGCTCCTTCCGAGCAGCCGGGGACAACTTTGGGTTGGGTGTGCTCCTGGAAGGCCGCCTAGGGCCGAGCTCTTCCGTCACTAACTGGAGGGGCTACTCTGGTGACATGATGACTTATCCCAGAGCCCTGGCCCCGAGGCTGGTCCTCCCCACCACACCTGTCTGGGCTTTCTTTTCCTCCTTTTTCCTTTCATGGTAGAAAACAGCAAGCGCGTGGCACAGTTAGGGCCTGCGTCCCGCCAGCTCCCTGTTCCAGCGGCAGCCGCGAACTCAGGGTCAACCTGGTTTCATCTCAGCCTCAAACGGTCCTCTCTCCTGGATTATGCTGAAGCAAATCCCAGACAGCTTGTTACTTCCTTCCCAGATATTTCAGGATGTACTTTGTAAAAATGATTCAGGAAAACACAGCCCCAGTATGATCATCACAGGACAGCATGAATGCTTTTCGAGTGTCCAGCAGCCAGGTCTCCAGATGGCCTCACGGTCTCTTTGTTCTTTTATTTCACTTTTTAAAAAAGATTTTACTTATTTATTTGAGAGAGTGAGAGAGAGCGAGCGAGACAGCACAAGCAGGGGGAGCAGCAGACAGAGGGAGAGGCAGGCTTCCCGTGGAGCAGGGAGCCCGACACACGGGGCTCCATCCCAGGGCCCTGGGATCATGACCTGAGCCAAAGGCAGACGCTCAGCTGACTGAGCCA